CCCTATGACGTTCGGACACTTCACTTCGTGGCATGCGGACGACCGTGGCTACTATTCAGGGCCCCGCGGCCGACGACGACGGCGTGCGCGCGCGAAGAAAAAACGAATGTGTCCGCATGGTATTATTTGACAGGGATGATGGCCCTGGCATGCGCGCAACCGTTGTTGCAGAAGTTCGAAGCACGTGAAAAAATTGCTCGCAAGAGCCCGTTTCACAGAAATGTTGAAAAAGTATTGGGTTTCCTAAGAAATCCGCAAGAGCGCGCGGGATGAATTTTTGACATTTTTTTTTTTGAAAAACCATTGGGTTTTTCATGTTTTTATGTTAAAATCGCTACGAAAACTAAGGTTTTGGAAGGATTTCATCTTGCGCGCGCGAGTGTGCACTTCGTGTCATTTTTTGCAAAAGGATTCTTGAAGTTTGGTTATGTTAGAACAAGACATGTCATTTTATATTGTTTTTTGCACAGGGAAAGCGGGCGTCAACAAAACAACCGGATCCGGACTCCCCCGTTTTGCTTGAGACTTCCTCACGAAAATGATGAAAATGTGGCTGCGGCCTAGGCGCGGCGAGGGGGGCGTGCACCAGGGGCCCAAATAATTATTTCTTAGAAGTAATAATATTCACAACAACAACAACAACAACAACAACAACAACAACAACAACAACAACAACAACAACAACAATTACTAGCACGTGGGGACACTCCGTTCTCACCAGTGCCAGGGTTTTCATAGGAGGCGGGCAATACCCCCACTTTGTGGGGGGGCCGGTTCAAGCTCTACCAAATTTCCAAACGACTCTTCGCCACCACCCACACCCAGCTTCCCGCCCTATGACGTTCGGACACTTCACTTCGTGGCATGCGGACGACCGTGGCTACTATTCAGGGCCCCGCGGCCGACGACGACGGCGTGCGCGCGCGAAGAAAAAACGAATGTGTCCCGCATGGTATTATTTGACAGGGATGATGGCCCTGGCAGGTGCGCAACCGTTGTTGCAGAAGTTCGAAAAAGTTGCTCGCAAAAGCCCGTTTGACAGAAATGATTAAAAAGTGTTGGGTTTCCTACGAATCCGCAAGAGCGCGCGGGATGAAATTTTGACATTTTTTTTGAAAAACCATTGGTTTTTTGATGTTTTTATGTTAAAATCGCTACGAAAACTAAGGTTTTGGAAGGATTTCGTCTTGCGCGCGCGAATGTCCACTTTACCTTATTTTTGCAAGGGATTCTTGAAGTTTGGTTATGTTAGAACAAGAAATGTCCACTTTAGCTTATTTTTTGCAAGGGAAAACCGATCGTAACAACACAACCGGATCTGGATGACATCGTTTTGCCTGAGACTTCCTCACGAAAATGATGAAAATGAGGCTGCGGCCTAGGCGCGGCGGGGGGGTCGCGCACCAGGGGTCCCAACAAAAATTATTCTTAAGAAGAAATAATGTTCAACAACAACAACAACACCCCTTCAAAAGAAAAACGTCACATTCCCAAGAGGCCTATACCCAGCGCCATTTCCGTGCCCGTTTGCGCGACCGCGCGCGTATTTCACACAACAAATTGGAACGAGGGAAATCCGAAAAATCAAAGAAACAAAAAAAAACATCCCCCTCCCAGACGGCCCATTGCAAGTACCGTTTCCGTGTCCAGTCGCGCGTCCGCGCGCGCATTTCGCGGAAGACGGGTCTGAAACAAGAAAAAAAAACCGAAGCCGAAAAATCAGGAAACACAAAAAAAAACTTATAATTTCCCCCTCCCAGGCGGCCCATTGCAAATACCGTTCCCGTGGCCGGTTGCGCGTCCGACCGCGCGGAGCACGGGTCGGAAGCAAGAAAAAGTCGGAACCCGAGAAAACAAAAACTATAACTTCCCCTCCCAGACGGTCCGCGCGCGCATTTCGCGGAAGACGGGTCGGAAACAGGAACAAAAAGTTGGAACCCGAAAAATCAGGGGGAACAAAAAAAAACAATTCCCTTCCCAGACGGCCCATTGTAAGTACCGTTTCCGTGTCCAGTCGCGCGTCCGCGCGCGCATTTCGCGGAAGACGGGTCGGAAACAGGAAAAAAAATCGGAACCCCAAAAATCAGGGGGGGGGGGGGAAACACAATCCCCCTCGCAGACGGCCCATTGCAAGTACCGCTCCCGTGGTCGGTTGCGCGTCCGACCGCGCATTTCGAGGAGGACGGGTCGGGAACAAAAAAAAATCGGAACCCGGAAAATCAGAAAAACAACCATAGGTTCCTCCTCCCAGACGGCCCATTGCAAGTACCGTTTCCGTGTCCAGTCGCGCGTCCTTTTGGGTGGATCTGAAAATATGTTCAATGAATCTGGGAGGATGTGGGTGGGTTAGGAAGGATTTTGGGGGATTCGGGTGGATTTGGATGGGTTTGGGTGGATTGGAAAGGATTTGGATGGGTTTGGGAAGGTTTGGGTGGGTTTGGGAGGATTTGGGCGGGTTTGGGAGGATCTGGGTGGATTTGGGAGGATTCGAGTGTGTACTGGAGGATTTGGAAGGATTTGGGAGGATTTGGGCGGATTTGGGAGAAGGGGGCCGATTTGGGAGGATTTGGGAGGATTGGGTAGACTTTGGGCAGACTTGGGTGGGTTGGGGAGGATCGGGGAGGATTTGGGAAGATGTTGGGTGGGTTGGGGAGGATTCGGGTGGGTTCGGGAGGATTTGGGGGGATTCTGATGGATTTGGGAAGATTTGGCAGGATTTGGGTGGGTTTGGCAGGATTGGGCGGGTTTGGGAGGATTTGGGCGGGTTTGGGAGGATTTTGGAGGAAGATTCCCGAACCGCGGCGATGCCCCAGAGGAGTCTCCAGCCGTGGCACGGCCTAAAAAGGATTCCCCAAACGGATTCCCCAGCCCTGGCGCGGCCCAAAGAGGATTCCCCAAACGGATTCCCCAGCCCTGGCGCGGCCCAAAAGGATTCCCAGTCCTGGCGCGGCAAAGAGGATTCCCCAAACGGATTCCCCAGCGCTGGCGCGGTCCTGGAGGATTCCCCAGCCCGGGCGCGGCCCTAGAGGATTCCCCAGCCCTGGCGCGGCCCTTGAGGATTCCCCAGCCCTGGCGCGGCCCTAGAGGATTCCCTTGCCCTGGCGCGGCCCTAAGAGGATTCCCCAGCCATGGCGCGGCCCTAGAGGATTCCCCAGCCCTGTCGCGGCCCTAGAGGATTCCCCAGCCCTGGCGTGGCCCTAGAGGATTCCCCAGCCCTGGCGCGGCCCTGGAGGATTCCCCAGCCCTGGCGCGGCCCTAGAGGATTCCCCAGCCCTGGCGCGGCCCTGGAGGATTCCGCAGCCCTGGCGCGGCCCTGGAGGATTCCCCAGCCCTGGCGCGGCCCTAGAGGATTCCCCAGCCCTGGCGCGGCCCTAGAGGATTCCCCAGCCCTGGCGCGGCCCTAGAGGATTCCCCAGCCCTGGCGCGGCCCTAAGGGATTGGACCAGATCCCGATCTAGACCATTGTGACGAGGAAGAGGTCTGCTGGACCAGATCACGATCTAGTCTAAACGAAATCGTGAATCAGGCGAAGTGGGTTCACCTCGAACGGACTTTTTTTCCGCCGGGAGACGGACTAGATGATCTAGTCTAAAACAGATCGGGAATCAGCCTAACATCGCCGTCTCCGCCCCCGCCTTCCGTCCGCCACCCCCACACGTCGTTCATTTCTAATCGTGCTCACTTCTAATTGTGCTCGGTTCTAATTGTTCCTGGCCCCCTAGTGGCCAAAAAGAGGCCCAGGATGGAAGAATCAGAAATGAAAGGATCTTGGCCCCCCAAAATCAAAGAACTCTCGAACAGCTAGAAATGAACCATGTGTAGGGTTATCTGCAGAGGCGCCCTGTCATGTTGACGATGCCCCCCTTTATCGCTGCCTGGTACGGCTTCGGGCTGCGCACAAGCAGCCCCCCCACAAAAAAAAAAACCCGGCGGGCCTCCACAAGCTCCGAGCAGTCTGGGGAGAACAGGTGCGCTCCCCACGGGACGAATGAGATCCCAGCAGGCTGGGTGAGATCCCATGCAACGAGCCTCCTCCTCCTCCTCCTCCTCCTCCTCCTCCTCCTCCCTCCTCCTCCTCCTCCTCCTCCTCCTCCTCCTCCTCCTCCTCCTCCTCCTACGGAGAGAGATCCCGACGAGACTCACTTGCGCCTCCAAGCGCTCTACAGGAGCCTTCTAGGCGCCTTACTGGCGCCTCCCAGGCGCCCCTCCCAGGCGCCCTGTGGGCGCCCCCTGAGCGCCTCCTGGGCGCCTCCTTCTGGCGCTGCTGACGATCAGGCGGATGATTGTCATGGTGATGTTGATTCGAACGGTGATGGTGATGGTGATCCATACGTCGCCGCGCAAGTTTCCCCCGACGGGCCCCAGTGGACGAAGCCGACACCACGGCAACCCACGGAAAGCCCTGCGTCCCACGCCCCGGGTAGACGCGGCAGGCGCCGCGGCACTCCCACGGCGAGCCCACGGCGCCCGAGGCGGCGTGTACCCGGGTGGCCGCGGAGCCCTCCCCCAAGACGCAGGGCCGCGCGTCGGAACAGAAAGCGCCGAGACGTGTCCACTGCGCCTGCTGCGAACCACCGCTGCCCCATGCCTGTCGGAAAACGTTGGACGGACGTCTTGCGAAACCGTTGGGCAATGTGTCCTCCCGGCCATTGCAGAAGCGCTCGGGGCAACACCTGGGGAAGGACGAGGGCGAGGAAGAGGTCAGGGAGGACACTGGGGCTTCTTGGGGCCTCTTGGGAGCTTCCTGGCAGCCTCTCGAGGGCCTCTTGGGGGCCCCTTGGGGGGCTCTGGTCGGGTCTCTCGAGGCCTTGGGACGCCTCTCTGGCTTGGGCCGCCCGTGGCCCGTCTGAGGCATTCGGAAGCCGTTGTGCAAGCCTCTCTGGGCCTCGCTGGGCCGTCGTGAGGCGCTGTGGGGCTGTTTTGTTTTCTTGTTGCGCAAAGGCAAGCGCGGTGCAGCAGCGGTAGCCTGGCTGCCACACAGCATCGAAGGCGCCCCAGGATCAGAAACGGTCGCAAGACTTGTGCACTTTTGCAAGCATTGCCGTGTCGATGTCGTTTACCGAAGCATATTTAAGCAATATCTGATCAACAGTGTTACGATGGCAACGAACGTACTTTGCGTCGGCAGCTCTGTCTGGATGACAAAACAACAGCGGCCATCTCGAGTGCAACTCAAGCATTGCGGTCTGGTCGACCTTTTGCGGGATTTGGGCGAGCAGATCATGAGGAGCGAAGACCTGACCAAATAGCTGGTTGCGCAAGAACCCTGAAAAACTCCACACTCCTGGGGCAAAGGTCAACTGTGGCGGGTCATCCCAAAGCACAACCCCCTTCAGCGACATCATGTCCTTCACCCCCTTTTTGATATCATGAATATCATGAACCGCCTCCAAGTAAAATATGTCTCCCTTTTGAAACGCACAATGTCTGTTGCTGTCGACTCCTGACGCGGAAATGCTGCCAATAAACCATTTCAATCCTATTTCGCTCCAGTCCAGAGTAGGTAGTCGTAAGTAATCGCCGGGTTTCACATTCAGCTCCTGGCTTTGCGACCCTGGTTCCACAGTCAACGAGCGAAACTCCAGTGTGAAGAGGCTCTGAGGCGTAGCAAAAGATTGGCCACCCAAGCGTTTCGCGATGAACTTAAGTGACTTCCCTCCTGGATGCGTGTGAGCAGAAAAACCGTATGGATCAAACGAGCCTGCCGCTGGTGCTTCGTATTCTTTCGAGAAGACTGTAGTGGTTCCGGTTGGCAAATTGTACCCTATCTGCCCTGTAGTAGTGCCTTCCCCAAAAAACTGCTGAGCGGCCGGAAACCGTAACGTCTATCAGCATCAATGACAACATCCATTTTAAGAACTAGCTTGTATTCCTCAAAGTCCCCCACCAATCGATCATCATCCACGCGCCATCCACAATTGATTTTGGTCTGAGCGGGGAAATATTGTGCCCAACCAACCGTCCGTCTCATTCAATAATTCGTAGCGCTTGAGATACTCGTTCATGCCCAGAGAGCCAGCCGCGTGAAGAAAAACAGCCTGGTGCTCAAACACCTCCTGCTCATACCACATGTCTGCGAAATTGGACCTGCACACGATGTGATGCACGTGAATGGGGGGCCACGCAAGAAGCTGGGTACCCGTCTTCTCTGTAACCACAAGGTGTGCCGACTTCAACCAGAAGCCATCGTCAGGCGTTGGAAGAGGCGTGCCTTTTTTATTATCAATCCTCTTACCAGGACCGAGGGTGAAGTCCCACTTCAGAGTCCACTGTTCAGAACCAGGCTCTAACCCCCCTCCCCCAATATGCTGAGTGCACTCGTCGAGATAAAACTGAGGCGAATTGCTGATGTGCAGCAGTGACTTCGTAGGCGGGCAGCTGAAGGCTAGTCGGAAGCAGGCAGTGAAGCAGCACAAGCCGAAAAGCGTCCAGAACCGCGTGGTGATTGGCATCTCTGGGAAGCACTTGCACTCTTCAGCCAGAGCCCCCTGAAGAGCCAATTGCTTAAGCCAGGATGGCTGCGGGTAAGGCGCTGTGGGGCCGTCTTGGAAGTCTCTTGGGCCGCCTTGTGGCCATCTTGGGGAATTCTTGGGCTGTCTTGGATCCCTGTTGCGGGGCCTCCTGGGCCGTCTTGGTCGCATCTTGGAGGCCCCAGGGGCAGTCAGAAGCCCAGGATGGTGGAAGCACGAACACCGCCACAACAAAAGAAGAAAGACAATGATGTTGGCTTCCTCGGGCCCTCCTCGAACCTAGAAGGCCTCTTGGAGCCGTCTTGGGGCCCCTTCAACAAGGGGGCCGGCCGGGACCACCTGGGGGGCCTGCCTGTGAGCAGCCCGCAGCCAGCCATTGAACTGGGCATCGCTCGGACGTCCATTCCCTGTGCTTTTCTCGGTTTCGCGCGTGGCTTTTTCGCCAGATGATCAAGGATGCTCCTCGATGGTCCTCGCCGAAGGAAAAATGCACACGTCCGAGCGATGCCAAGCCCCCCACGGCCCTGCCTGGCGACGGCGACGGCGACGGCGGCGAGGGCGGCGAGGGCGGCGGAGGCGGCCACGGCGGCCGGGCGGCGGCAGCGCCGGCAGGCGCTGGCGGAGGACACGACTTGCACTGGCCCCCCCTTGCCGCCGCTCTATAGGCCCCCCCGCGGCGGGAACGTTCATGCTCCTTCACTCCTCCTCTCTCCCTCTCTCCTCGTGCTCTCCCTCCCTGGAGCTCCCTCGTCCTCGATCTGATTTTTCCGGCGCCACAAATACGACGATTCCCCAAAAAATTGGTGGGGGCAGCGCTTCCTGCCACCCCCGCCCAAAGGCCTTGTCTGGCGTGAACTGCCTCCAGGCCTCCCCGCCGGCCGCCGCGGGCGGCGCGCCGGCGCTGGCGCGCGTCGCCGCCGCCGCCGCCGGCGCGGCGCGGCCCGCCGCCATGGCGGCGGCCGGCCCAGGGCCGCGCGGGCAGCGGGCGGCGGCGGCGGCGGCCGACGCCTCGAGGCGCCTCCGCCCGCCGAGGGATGTGGGCGAGAGGGAGGCCCTCGGCCCGGCACGCCCCGAACTCCTCCTCCTCCTCTCCTCCTCCTCCTCCTCCTCCTCCTCCTCCTCCTCCTCCTCCTCCTCCCCTTCAGGGCAGACCCTCGGCCGAGCACCGGCCCGGGTGGAGCACCAGGCCTGCGCGGGGTCGGGTGCCCCGGCCGCGGATCAGCATCCGGAGGAATGAGAAGGCGCAGGGGGGAGGAGAGGAGGAGGAGGAGGAGGAGGAGGAGGAGGAGGAGGAGGAGGAGGAGGAGGAGGACCAGTGCAAGCCCAAGAGTTATATCAACGATGTTGGCACAAGCCCTCCCTCCAAGCTCCCTCTTCACAGGCCACTACAATGGGTCATTTCCACTCAGGGAACTGCTTCGTTGGAAGACAAACGTTTGAAGACCCTGAAGCATGCCAAAAAATTCATCTCGGAAATCCAATGCCACGGATAAACCTGACTATTGCGTCTTGACGATCCTGAATCGCGCCAGAACGCCATTCCTGGGACATCAACCCCGCGAATCAACGTAACGATTGCACCCTCGTAATCCTAAATCTCTCCCAAACACAATTTCTGGTACGCTGACCATGGGAATCCGTGAAACTTCTGCAATATTGAAGAAGGAATGTGCGCGGCGCTAAGGCGAGAACCACATTTTGAAAACGAGCCGCCCTCAATCTGTGAAGCTCTTGCAAATCATAAGCGGAATGCGCGCGGCGCTACGGCGAGAGCAACATTTTGAAAACCATCCGCCCTCTATCTGTGAAGCTCTTGCAGCGCGGCGCTAAAGCGAGAGCCGCACCTTAAAAACCACCCGCCCTCAATCCGTGAAACCCTTGCGATTTTTTCACGAATGTGCGCGGCGCTATGGCGAGAGCAACATTTTGAAAGCCACCCGCCCTCCATCTTTAAAAAAAAAACACATTGTTGAGACGAATGTGCGCGGCGCTAAGGCAAGAGCTACATTATGAAGACCGCCCGCCATTCATCTGCGGCGAGAGCCACATTTTGAAAACCGCCCGCCCTCCATCTGCGAGAATGTTTACAAAGTTTCAGCTTCCGGGTCATAAATGGTGCGGCAGTGTCGAGCGAACCGCCCGGCCCGCCCTATAAAGACTGGCCTGGAGGTTCGACGGGGAGACATCTACGTATGAGGAGAAAAGGAATGGAGGAGGGGGAGGCGCAGAAGGAGGACAAGAATAAGGAGGTGGTCGTCGTCGTCGTCGTCGTCGTCGTCGTCGTCGCTGCCGATGCGATCGTTTGGCTCGCGGCGTCGGGTCTCGGTGACCCCCGCGGCCGCGGGCGGGTCCCAGAGACCCGGCAGCGCGCCGGCGCCCGCCGCCGCCAGCGCCTGCGGAGGCCGGTCGCCGGGCGTTCCTGGCGGGGGGCAGGCTCGCGGGGATCGGGGGGGGGGGGGGTCGGCTCGAGGATCGGCTCGAGGGGTCGAGGATCGAGGGGGAGGAGGGCGGGAGGGGGAGGGGGAGGGGAGGAGGGAGGAGGGAGGAGGGAGGAGAGAGGAGGGAGAGAGGAGAGAGACGGATCGAGCGGGAGGGAGAGGGACGGGGAAGGAGGATGGGGAAGGAGGAGGGAGCAGAATAGCCGTCTCGAGGACCGAGGGGGATGGAGGGAGGGGGAGGGAACGAGCGAGGGAGGAAGAGAGAGCAGCTAGAGCCTCATTGGCTCAAGGAGGAGGCCGCCACCCCGAGGGATGAGGGAGCAGGAGGAAGAGGAGGAGGGGGGGAGGGGGAGGAGGAGGAGGAGGAGGGGACGAGGAGGAGGAGGGAGGAGGAGGAGGAGGAAGAGGAGGAGGGGGAGGAGGGGGAGGAGGGGGAGAAGGAGGAGGAGGAGGAGGGGAAGGAGGAGTAGGAGGAGCAGGGGAAGGAGGAAGGACCAGAGTAAACGCAAGATGCATCAGCGATGCTGCAATACAACCTCCCACCCGTGCCCCCTCTCACGTCCCTGCAGAAATCCTTGTCACTACAAAAAGCGCCCCCCTTGAGAGACCGGCGCAATTGGGCCCCGCTTGAAAAGGAACTTCTGTGCATCCTTCTGGCGCGTAGTCAAGAACGCGAAAAAACATAATCTCGCAGTGCAAGAAGGTGTTCAGCGAGGGACCCCTGTCGAAAAATCGCCAAAGACAGCAAGAAAGCTTCCGACGTGATGTTTCACAACGCGAGGAAGCCTGAAGAGGAGGAATTGAAAGTCGAGGAGGGGGATCACGACCGTGAGACCGAGGCCATGGTGGAAACATGATCGACTCACGAACCCGGAACACGACATAGGACCGCCTCCTGTAACGTGGGCAGCGGGCAGCGGCAGTGCTGTGAATGTCCGTGGTGATGATATCGTGCCAGGGGCTGTACCGTGCTGCGCTGCGCTGTGCAACTCGTCCGGCCCGAGAGCCCGACGAGCAGCGCACGCCGCGCGACGGAGCACCGCCGCCCCGGCCAGAGGGGGCACCCCCCCGGGCCAGCCCGGGGGCCTCCGG